TCTATACTAATAATAAATAATATAGTTAGTATATATACTATATTTATAATAATAATAAAAACTATTTAGTTTAAAAAGACTTTATTAAGAAAAAATACTTAAACTATAATAAAAGTTATTTAGTATAAACTTAGGCTTATTTTATTATAAACTAGAATTAAATAAAAATTAATAAAGTATATTAGTACTACTTTATTTACTTTAAAATATATAATACTTTTAATAATAGAACTTTATAGTTACTTAGAGTCTTTTTTTTAAAAAAAAAAGACTATAAATAGTTTATAATTAAAAGGTTATTTATTTAGTATTAATTAATTAATTATATTATATTAATTAGACTAATTTACTTATTTAGTACCTCTATAAGTTTAATAGTAAAAGAAAAACTAAAGTCCTTAGAGAAAAACCTTTACTTCTACTATAAGTAGTTAGCCCTATATTAGTTCCTAGTAGGGTTTAGTATAGGCCCCTCTTTTAATCCTTAGGTTTTTATTTTTAATCCTATCCTTTCTATTACTTCTCCTCCCCCCTCTTTAATATCTTCTACTTTATTATTACTACCTTCTTTAGTTATATAGACTATATTAGGGCTAGGATATTCTTAGTTACTTTTATCTTAGAGTATAGGTTCTTAGTTAGGGGGGGAGGGGAGATAGTTTATAATCTCTATATAAGGGCTATAAAAGAATATAACTATTTATATCTCTAAGTAAGTAGACACTTAGTTTATACTTAAGGTGCTTACTATTTTTAGTCTATATAAGAGTATAGTTCTTTAAGTGTTTATTATTTATATTAATTATACTATTTATTATATTTTTTATTAATTATTATATTTTAGTATAAATATTATATAAAGGCCTATTTTTAGTATACTTATAGCCACCCCCCCTAGTAATAGTATAGTCTTATATTAGTTCTTATTAACTAATTTAGTAGTTAATTTATTATTATTATTTTTTATTAATAACTAATCTAGTTAATCTAGTTAATTTATTACTAGTTAGTAAGTATATAGAGACTATAATACTTCTATCTTCTAATTCCTTTTTCTCTTTCTTCTTTAGTCTCTTTAATTCTATATATTTATCTTTATTATTATACTATTTTATTTTTATTTACTTTTATTTTTTCTTCTTTTTACTATCTTTAGTCTACTTTTATTCTATATAAAACTAACTATTTATAAAAAACCTTTTATTTTTATACTTATAAAGAATATAAGTACTTTCCCCCCCTTACCCTTAGACTAGACTTAGTCTTAACCCCCTAGTAGTTATATAATACTT